CACACACACACACACACTCACACTCACACTCACACTCACACTCACACTCACACTCACACTCACACTCACACTCACGCATCATTTCCATGGCAACTATCAGACGAACAGCATCGCAGATGAACAGCTGTGGTTCTGTGCTGATCGCTGGAATGTATGATGTATGTCTAACATACTAACACGCTGATCTTACTAGTGCTGCAGGTGTTTATATGTGCAAATTCCCAGATTATTCACCGGATTTTCCAAGAGTGCATAAGCCACAATGCAATGCACTCGACTTGACTATGCATTTGTATTGCAATGAGATGTAATGCGGCCTTAAAGCAGAACTGGACATGATTTTGTGTGCACATGAATACGTCACATGGAACTAAGGATGCAAATCAAAACACAATAACAGGTAACTAAGAGGAGGCTAAAAACATGAGATGCTTGAAAAATAATCCATGTGTGGAAAAAAAGTGGTCATAAGTGTGGATAATTTTTTTATAGAAATTAATACTTTTATTTAGCAAGGATGCATTAAGTTGATCAAAAGTGACAGTAAAGATGTTTATAATGTTACAAAATAATTATATTTCAAATAAATGCTGGTCTTTTGAACTTTCTATTCATCTCAGAATCCTGAAAAATAAAATGTATCACGGTTTCCACAAAAATATTGTGCAGCACAACTGTTTCATCATTGATAATAATCATAAATGTTTATTGAGCAGCAAATCAGCATATTAGAATGGTTTCTGAAGATCATGTGACACTGAAGACTGGAGTAATGATGCTGAAAATTCAGCTGCGCATCACAGAAATAAATTACATTTTAACAGATATTCACATGGAAATCAGTTCTTTTAAATTGTAATAATATTTCACAATTTTACTGATTTTACTGTATTTTTGATCAAATAAATGCAGCTCTGGTGAGCAGAAGAGAATCTTTATAAAATGTACTACTTGTAAAAGTGAGATGAAGATGCATCTTTATGATACATGAATTTGAACAAATAAAACAAACTTCTACGTTATTTGATAATAAAACCTTTTTGGCAAACATTTACAGACGCAGGTGTGTAAACATGGTAAATTATGCTCTCACACCTGAAGAACAAACAGCAGCATAGCATCCTTTATGATTTATTTTCAATGTAAGGAGACGTTTCTTTGTTGACAGTCAAACAGCTGCTACAGTAACAGCTCCAACTATCAGGGAATGAATCGCTTTTGTGGTCGAAGTCTGAGATTTCAAGCCTTGTTGTTATTGTTTACTAAAACTAAAACATAAAAGACCACTACAAACCATTTTAGGTCATTGAAATAAAGCTGAATTAAAATAAAAGAAAGATTAGGTGAAAAAATAAATGAAATCTAAAAACTTTAAAAACATATCCAAACATTTCCAGGTTTCATTTTAATTTTATTCTTTAAAAAATGGCAAAAGCACATAGCAAAATTACTTAAAATTAAAATGAAAACTGAGAATGTAAAAATAAAAGCTAGTTCAGTACATTAATTATGGAATGCATTTTCTGTCGATTTTAAATAAATCAATTTGATTATAAAAATGAAAATGAAAACCAGATTAACAATTTCATTATAGAAAACTATACGCAAAATATGTGCCAGAATTGAAAATGAAATGATTTAATTATTCAATTTTTAATGTAATTTTTAAAGCTGCCAATCTTAAAATGAAAAGGCAGACGTGAAAAAGAAAATGCAAATCCAGTTTTTACAAAGCTTTTTTATTAATGCTCACGCAATAATAGTGACACAATTCAAATTAAAATGTAAAGTTTAATTTTTGTTTTATTGTCTCTTTTATTTCAAAGTTTTCATTTTCAAAGTCAACTTATATGCAAATTCTGTGTTCAGGGGGGCGGGGCTTATTGTTTGCGCGACATACAGAGGCCCATTCCCAAAAAATATATGATTCTGTAAGTCATAATAATGAGAAACGCTCTCATATCAATGACTTAATATCTCATAATAACTCTCATATCAATGAGAAACTGTCTATTTTACAAAATTAACATTTCTAAAATTTAAGCTAAAATTAAAATGACAACTGAAAATAGAAAAAAATAAAAGCTAATTCAGTAATAGTAATATACTAATCTAAAATATAAAAAAAAACTAATGAAAATGACAAATGCACACAGCATAAACTAAAACTAAAATACAAATGAAAATAAAAGCTAATTCAATATATTAATAAATATATAAATATAAATAAACTAATAAAAATGACAAAAGCGCATAGCAAAACTTGAACTAAAATAAAAAGAAAACAAAAAAATACCAACTAATAAATACTATAATAATATAAAAAAACAATACTACAATAGCACGCGTGCACAGGATTATGTTTCAGTGGGCGGAGTGTTTCTGTAGTCATGTGATCTCTCTCTCTCTGAGACGGACACCTCTGCCTCATTTACTGACTCTCTGCTATTGCTATTCTGCTGGCGTTAGTTTCTCTGGATGGCTGCCGGCGGAGGTCCGTCAGGGTCCTAACGAGCGAGTCCAGAGCGGCTGGGCCTGTCAGAGCAGAGCTGTCATTAGCAGCACACAGACGAGTTTGGACAGATTTGGAGAAGTGTAGTATTACATCTCTTGCTCTGCAGTGAATGGGTGCCGTCAGAATGAGAGATTATGGAATTATATTTTAATGCTGGATTTGTTTCAGCTTTTGTCTTCTCCAGATGTTAACTGATGGACTGGAGTGCTGTGGATTACTTGTGGATTATTGTGATGTTTTTATCAGCTGTTTGGACTCTCATTCTGACGGCACCCATTCACTGCAGAGCATCC